CTAAAAAAAAAAAAGAGTAGATTTATGAAAAAAGAAATTTGGCTACACCCTTATATGAAATGAAGTTGGTATCAGAGATATATTATTATTATTATTATAATAACGCACAATTACGTTCCTTAAAATAATATTCTCCATACCGTACTTCAAGCAAGCTGAGCCAACAACTGATTATATAAAAGTTTTGCATTGCAAGACTCTTGCATATTATAAGTTATGCAAGACTCTTGCATATCTTAAGGCGGTGGTCCCAAAACTACGGCCCGTTGGCCGGATGCCACTCTTTGCATGCATTTAGCTGGCCCTTGGTGCAATAATGGGGTGGAAGGGATCACAAGCCCTTCCACTGGCACCAACCCTGGGGCACTAGTCCTGCCCCTGGCACCAACCCTGGGGCACCGTTCCTCCCCCTGGCACCAACCCTGGGGCACCGTTCCTCCCCCTGGCACCAACCGTGGGGCACCGTTCCTCCCCCTGGCACATGGGGCACCGTTCCTCCCCCTGGCACCAACCATGGGGCACTATCCCTCCCCCTGGCACCAACCCTGGGGCACTATCCCTCCCCCTGGCACCAACCCTGGGGCACCATTCCTGCCCCCTGGCACCAACCCTGGGGCGCCAATCCTGCCCCTGGTACAACCCTGGGGCACTATTCCTCCCCCTGGCACCAACCGTGGGGCACTATCCCTCCCCCTGGCACCAACCATGGGGCACTATTCCTCCCCCTGGCACCAACCATGGGGCACTATCCCTCCCCCTGACACCCATGGGGCACCATTCCTCCCCCTGGCACCAACCCTGGGGCACCATTCCTCCCCCTGGCACCAACCCTGGGGCACCATTCCTCCCCCTGGCACCAACCATTGGGCACTATCCCTCCCCCCGGCACCAACCATGGGGCACTATCCCTCCCACTGACACCAACCATGGGGCACTATTCCTCTCTTGAAACCAATGATTGGACACTATTTTTCCCACCAACACCAACTATTCCTGCCCCTGGCA